GAAGCGACTCCAAACTGCTGTCAGGGATGAAACACAAAAGGACCCCACGCGCGCTCCCGCTCTTAGGTAGTATCGCACCATCCGCCGGTGGCCCCAGGGGCGTAGTCGGCAGAGAGCGAATTAATACGACGGTCTACTACATTTCTGTAAAAAAACCCAGAGCCAAGGTGACTCGCTACTCTATTCCGTGAAAACCGGCGCACTTGCTTCGTACAGGCGAGTTCAAACCCGTGGCGTGCACCCATGACGAGGCGGGGGCTCGGACCTCGCTAACCAGACTGACGGTGTAGTGACGTGGCCCACGCCAAATGCAACCCATCTGACGCAGACAGGCTGAGTACGAACCCGCGCGTGTGAAGATAACGAGTTGGACCAACAGCGATACAGGCAGCGACAACAGCCCCACGAGCGGAGGACCCACCTTCCGTGTTGGGACCTCACTGACAGACGACGCGAGTTCGCGCCCAGTTGACGCATAGCGAGGCATCGGAAGCACTGTTCATTGTTTTCCGAAGCTGATGCTCTACACATAAGTCCGGGAGAACGGGTCAAAAAGACGATGGTCTCAACGTTCCATCTGTTTCCACCTTCTTCCCTATAATAACTGCTAGTATGGCCCCAACGCGCGGTCCACACCTCATAGTCACAATGCTAGTTAAGCTAGTTAGTTACAAGTCACAAGGTGCGGAACGTGTCGAGTAGGAGTCAACGAGCGCTTTGTGGTTGCCCCAACCGGCCTATAACACAGGCCGTCAGATTCAACAGTCCCCGACTTGTACAACGAAGCTAGCAGGACCAGTCTGAGATACAGGAGAGTGCACAACGATTTGTCCAGTTTATTGCATCTCAGAGTGAAAAGTATAAAGTAATAGAACACGAGAAAGAAGAAACCACAGGATGATACATATGTAATCTGTACAGGTATATACACAAGAGGGGTAGTAAAAAGAAACGTTTGTGACAGCCTGTCATCTATGGCCGCTCTAAGCTACCATCCGGGCTTCGATGGAAAACCGGGATGCAAAAATGAGCAGTTAGCACCGTTTCGACAGGTGCCCTGTTGAAAGAATTTGCATACTTGCTCTCCCCGGTGACCACCTCCGCCCCGTCGGGGACCCCCTCCCCTGGGACCCCCAACTGGCGGCCTCCCGCCACCGAACATATGTGGTGGATGACCGCGGAAGGGTGGGCGTCCAACAAAGTTGGGAGGTGGTGGTGGTGGGAGGCGGGACATAGGACCACGTTCCGGAGGGAAGGGCGGACGGTGAGGCGGAAAGGGTGGACCCCTCATATCACCGGGTAAGGGCCTGTGGGGTGGAGGGGGGCCACGGGGCCTGCCTTGCCCGATGGGAGCCCTGTCAGGCACAAAGGAGGGAGCGGGTGGCATTTCAGGGACAGAATGGCCGTCCGTGGGGGGCGGATTCTTGTCCGCCCGCGCCTCCAGTTGGTCTTCACCACCGGAAGTGACCGGCGAGGCCGAATACACTGGTTTGGGTATATCACTGTTGAGAGCAGGGGTTTCAGGTGCAGCGGGAGGAGATCGAGTCTCGCTTGCAGAGGTTGTAGTTGGTGGAAGCTGGGTGAGGGGAGTTGGCACTTCACAAGTGGGATTGAAACTGTAAACTAGCGACTGCACGAGGTCCGCTACCTCAGGGTTCAGCGAAACCTGAAAACAAAAAGTAAAGCGACTAGAAGACATGACTCGAAATGTCCGGAAGAGAGCACGCCTGGCTTGTCCGTTGTGAACGGCGATTGAGGACAGGCCTGCACTATAAAAGGGTCGTCCAAGAAATAACCGTGAAGATACGCCCTAATAAGCTGACGTAACACACTAGACGTGCACTACGACGACGCTATTGCAAACAGATAAAGACATCGGCAGAAGACCTTCGGTGGCACAAATAGGAGACTTTCGCCGGACATACACGTATTTACTGATCTTACGGTCCTGGTACGAAAGAATATATTTTATCAGAGGCCTACAAGCCAGGATGTTGCAGGGTCGATGAAGTACGAGCACACATGGTAAGGTGTGCCATGCCGTAACAAATCACACACAAATATCCTTGTTGTTCGTGGCTTATTTCTAATGGGGGGCCATGACTCCCGAGAGTGCGTAATACCAACCAAGACGGTCGAGCAGGCCGACAAGCTGGATTGTCTTCAATTCCGTTGAACTGCCTGATTCGAGTGTAAGGCACTAACTCGCAGTATCCTGCTGGAAAAATAATACCATAGATTGCAATCTTCATGAGGATAGCTTTTACCAGTCAATTTGGAAAGCAACCAACACACCCACATGCGACCAAATCCTGCAGTAGCACATATAGGGCGACAGCCAGCATGGAGCACACCGGCAGAAACTAACCTTCGCTTTTCCGTCCCCTTGGTCCTTGATGATAAGCAGGTCCTCCCTCTCGGATGGATGCTCCTTCGCGTGTAACTACAAAGCGAATTACAAAATGGTGGGTTGTTTATTACTCCGACAGTTATCGGCAAGCATTAAACGACTCCAGTAAGCCATGGGCAAAGAGATCAGCATGGCGCACCAGCGTCACACAGGGCCCCCGACAGCACACACACCAGCCCTGAAGGTGCCAATACGCCAACGCTCGTCATAGGCGGCAAACACAGACCCCAACCACAGATCGTTCGGGTGCAGGTATTACAAGGGGGACGAAGTACGGCCGACCGCACGAACACGTCGACCCGCCTGCGAGTTCCGGGGGTCTTGGGCCTGGTAGACCGCAGCCATAAGATCGAGCGCTCAGCGAATTAACATTTCAATAGTTGGGGAGCCAACGCGTGCCACAAAACTTCTGTGGCAAGTGCTCCCGGAGCAAGAAGTACGAATTAAAACGAGAAGCCCCATCATAGTCTTTCTTCTTGTAATGAAGATCTGACAGCCTTCTTCCTCTCGTGCTATTGGTATGTGAATTGGGAATGATACGAATGAGGGTCTTGGTCGCTATGCAAACCGCTCAAGATTAATATTCAACACAAACATAGGGAAAACGGGCAAGGTCAGCCTAGTTACGCATGAATGACCAACGTGCACTGACGAACGGATGCACAGGAAAACCGTCCACCCCGCCAGCGCTTCCACTACTGCGAAGTGGAGAGGATTTAAGAAGGCTGGATTTTTATTAAAGAGTAAGCAAACAAGGAAACCAATAAAATGAGAAAACGGGGACCCCAGTAGGTTGCGACGGCCTCCCGGCAAACGTACATCTTCCAAAGGAATTTCGACAGCTGACGTAGACTCAAACTCTTCTTTTTCTGGCTCCTCAGGGGAAGGTGGTATACTCTCGCGGGTGAAGTAAATAGCCTGCAACACATAACGTTCCCGCTCACGCTGCAGCTGCCGCTCCACGGATTTGCAGCCAGGCTCGACGAGAATTGTCAACTCAAGGGGTGCGGGCGTCTGCCACTGAAAGGGTAGGAGTAAAAAGAATAAAGCGCATATTGTTGCGAAGGGAAGCATGAAGGCGACAACAGTTGCGCTTCAAACGGTGGATGATTCAAAAAAAGTTTTGTTCGACATACCTTCGCATCCTTGATTTCAATTTCCTCATGACGCCTGAACAACTGCCGTTCCAAAGAAAGTTCTTTCTGACGGATTTCAGCCAAGGAGATCCTGTTCACATTGACTAAAAGTAGAGCAATACGGTGCAACAGGGTTAGTGTTGGGGTTGTTAGGAAAGAAATAGGTGTCAGGGTGAATGCCGTCTAATAGTATGCCATAAAGATCGACCCACCTCGTTCATTTTCATCAACCTCGAAGAAGGAAACAGCCTGCAGTTTGTCTTCTGGAGCCCAAGTCACACGCTTTTTCGTTTTCTTTTCGAGTGTGAAATTCGCGAAGTTAGCCAGGGAGGACTTTTTTAGTGGCTCTGTGTCAGAAGTCGTGGAAGCTGATGTATCCATCTCCTCCTCAACTGGAGCTTCTGGCTTCACTTTGATCTGATTTTGGTCATCTGAGACAGAGTTCTTGGGGGGAATTAAAAAAGTATACAACTTACAGCTTCGGAGGCAAGAGGGGGCTCGGGTTTCGGGATTTTCCGTTTTTTGCGCACCACGGGCTGCGTCGTTGTTGTTAACGAGTTAATGAAATTCGAACTTTCATGGAGTCCATAAGACGCTAGGAGGACATAACAAACGGGAATGGAAGGCTTACGTTTTCTGGGTTCCGTTGGGACTACAGTAATTTTCTGGTGAAAAGACTCGATGGGAAGGCTTGATGTAGGCTTTTCAGTGGAATCGTGTTTACTAAAAGCAAGTTAGGTCGGAAGGCTGAAAATTGTACCTTTTCTTCGACAGAACTTCGGAACGCGACTTCGGCGTAAACTGCTCAACCGCTTCTTCAATGCCTGCCGTACGCATAACAGTCGGGGGCATCTTTACGGTGGAACGGCGTTTCTTCGGGTCCTTCGCTGCCGAGTTTGGCTCCGTGTCAGTCACCTCCACCTTCCCTTCGGATTCAGAGCGCTTCTTTTTGATGGGCGGCTCAACGTTGCCCTCGCGTCGGGTTTCGCGGCTAATAACTTCTTTCCATTTTTTCACAATTTCTCCAGCAGCAGATTTAACAGCTATACAGCGGATGAGTTAACAGAACGTCCTAACCTTTGTTTTCTGAACGCTTTGCAAGGGAATTTATCAACTTCGGGCAGACATTCTGGGTGAGGTTCTCAAATCGAACCGGCAAGTTAAGGTACACATTCAGAAGCTCGATCAGAAAAGACTGATGGTCTTCCTTCAGGGCCTCCTGAAGCCACTTGAGAAGGATGTCCCAGGCACCACTTTGACACAACTGGGCTTGAGAGGCATTATCGGAGGCCGATATGATGCACAGGGAAACACACTTCGGCACAAGTTTCCCATTCGTATCGGACATAAGATTGATGAGAGCAGGAATGGAGGTCTTCCGAATGCCACCATTCTCCGTTAGGTTGTCTTTGAAGGCGACTAGCAGCTTGTCTGGGTCGGTAATGAACTAAAAGATCCAAGAAAATTAGTGATGAGATGACCTGCCGCGACTACCAAAGAGCACTCTAACTCCTCCTTTGAGTATTTGCTAAGATAATCTACAGCCACGACGAAAACTACGGCCGTGGAACCTTACCACACAGTTACTTGTGCGGTCTGCCCCAGTAAGGCCCAAACCAGGAACCAGTCCCCAGGTCGACCGTCAAAAATACGAATTTTACCACTTACGTTGCCCTGACAGACTTCAGGAGAACGCGCAGAAGTTAGACGTCAATCCGCTCGGGCGCACCGCCTTCCAGGACCAGTGGACACGAGTACCAACGGTTGTGTGTCGTTGAGACCATCCATGGATAGAGGTCTTGACAACCAATATCAAATGCCGATATACAATCCCAAACTTCGCTTCGGTCATACGAGAGACGGAAGTACTAGTGCGGTTTGTTAGCATGGGCCAACACGATCTCTGATACCCATCCCCGGGATGTCGTGACATAAATAGCGACCCAGGGCATCATAGGGTCCCGCAAAGTCGACGGCCGATTTCGAACAATGCCTACAACCTTGCAGCCCCAGTTCCTTAATACTACTGACGGTCCCACAAATCAGTAGTGACCGACTGCAAAGGTTAGATTAATTCGCACGACAGGCGCGCTGGCGAACGTCTAGCGATGCTCTCTGCGTTTACCACCGCTGAAATCCACGTTAGTGTAGCGACCAGAAGGCAAATGAGTGTCAGTACTGAAGATGGAACCAAGGTAACAGCGTAAAGCCGTTTAATGACCAACAAGGCTGTCTGCTGCTGAAACGACTCTTGTAAGTGGAACTGGTGTCCCCCGGAAAGACGCCCGCCTGCTAGTCCAGGGCCGACCAGAACGGATGGAGGGCAGCCACGCGTGAGACAGTACTGCCGGGCGACATCCCACGACGATTCTAAGGAAATTCCCAAGCTGCAGACCTGGTACACCTCTCCGCCGTTACGCAGGACCTCGGTCGAGATTGTTGATGGCGGAGGGAGGCCTGTCGTCAATGTTAGGAACCGCCCTTACGTCAGGTCGCCCCTTAAAACAAACCACCATGAGCCGGAGGACCGAAGTTCACGCGCACCTGCCTGGTCGGTCGGGAATCAATGACTTGGTGGGACAGCCCCAAACGGATCATCAGCTAGCGAAAAGCCGATAACGGGGAGCACGAACCGGCTCTGGAATGCAATTACCTGTATATTCGGGCGGCGACTAAACGTGAACGAACGTACGACCCCAAGCCAATGAGTTTTGTGACGCGCCAAACTGCCCTGTAGTGGAAAACCCCAGGTCTGACCTACATCCAGAGCGAAGTGCCTGCTACCTCTAAAGCGCAGTAAGCCACCTTAATACGAGCCGAGACCCGCCGCAGCACGACGCAGAAGCCTTTGCAGGGTACGACGGATCCTAAGACAGAACACACGATAGCGGCAACGAAGGAGAGAGACCCCTGAAACGAGCACAGCCCGGGGCACTTTCTGCCAATAAAAAGTGCAAGTTGACAGAAATTTACCATCTCCAGATGAGCAACCTAGGGAGTGGAGGGCGAGAATATCAAAGGCCACCACTTCGGAAGAAAGGCCGCATACGAAGACATTTAGGCAGGTGGCCAGTGTGCGAGGGCCACTGTCAGATAACACCAGTAATTCGACAGCCCACAAGCGTCCGGACAGAGCCTGGCGGGCCACGGGTAAATGTGCGGCGGCTAATACAACCGACCACCGTCAGCCAAATGCCAGCACGCGGTGGCGACAAGATAACGCTTTCACACATTCCGTGGCGGAAAGGCACCAGCCTCGAGCAGCAGCTTTGACACGACATCCGCATAGTGAGCAGGCCCGTCCCGAATTAGACCACGTGCTTCCGAAAGAATACGGGAAGACAACCGCACGTATGCGTCGTCCCGAGACCCTTGCATTACAACCCCGAACACGAACCGTAGGAGTCGGAAGAGTGCGAAGGCCACATGCCCATTTCTGACATTTATAAACTCCCGCGAGCTAGCTGACGGCGCCCTAGGCCCGTAAACTACTAGGCATCAACGGCCCCGTCCGCTTCCTTGCCCCTAAAAATCAGCATACGACCGCATCTGGAGCCTGTGATTCTGGTCCCACTCATCCTTTTTACACCTGAACTAGCCAACCCGAGGTTAGCGTACAGCAAACGGCGAAACACCATCGCCAGTCGCACCATCGGAAGCCCTGCGTCCGGACAGCACCGCCCACGACAAGTATTTTTTCGAACCGTAACTACATCCCACTACCCAAAGAACAGGTCAAGCTGCCAACGCCCCTAAAAGTGGGCGAGGGAGCACCTGAAAACCTCGCCTACTGGAAACAAAGAAGTTTAAGTCCGCAGACCTCGCAACCGACTCCAGGCTTAGACTGTCGCATTCTGCTGAACAGTATGGTCCAGACCCACCCGCCCAGGCGTATCATCTGCAGACCTGCGACGTTTCAAGCAGATGTAGGCACGGCCCTTTATCCCTGACAAGTTTTAGCCATATGGAGCGTACGCCTGACGGATGTGAAGCAAGGGTGGCTGTCGGGCACAATTGTAACAGATCACGTATCTCCAGTCGATAGTTCGTACGGCGGCACTGGCCGCCCACAGGTGCCCACCGCTCGACTATGTCAGCTAATTTACTAATGCACCACAATATTTTAGCAACGAATATCACTATGGTGCACGAAGGAGGGCGGACGCGACACCACGTGGCCGGTAGTGAACACTTGCAAATACTTGGCGCGATAAGCGCCGGATGCTGCGGCGCAGTGCGGACAGTAAACTTGTGCAGGGGCCTTGCTTTGCAGCGTCTGACAAAGACGACACTGGCTACAAGCTTATCATGATTCAGAGCTGTTTCTTGAAATTAGGTAAGTGTATTGCGACCGACGGGTTTACGCTCCGCTCTTGCCTACTACATGAATTAGCAGCAGCCGACTCCTTTAGTCATACTGCCTTACACAAATGCGCAGACTCGCTGCTTAAGCACAAAAGTGCCCGACCCCTGCAAAGAGAAGTTGTAGTTAAACATCAAACGCGGCGGCACGACTCACCACAGGACGAACCCACACCACGGTGGGATTGCTACACGCTGACCGAACAGGATGCAACGCAAAATACCAGCACAATGCGTGAATGGACCATCAGCATCGCCAGACTAGATTGTTGGACAACAGCGCTCGTTGGAATGCTTTCCGCCGTGCAGCCTTCCAGAAGCTGTAACGGTGGCAAGATAATCATGTCTTTCACTATCACGTCCCGCTTATTGGTTATCACGTACAAATACCTAGCACTACAAGTGCGGTGACTGTCAAAACGGCAGCCCTACTGCCTTCTCACTTAAAGTCAACCTAGAGTCGACCACTGCTATAATCCGTCACCTCGAGGCAACACATTGAGCACGCACAATCAGTTAGAAACCTGAGGAACTTCCTAATCGCAACTAGAACCCCAAACCAGCCAACATCTCTGTGCTAAAGCACACTGCGAAAACTATGGCCACATGAATATGGACGGTAGGACAAAACTCGGACAATCACTTAATAATACTCCAGGATAACTATGAAACTGAGTGCGAAACACTAAAGTCTGTTCTAAATGACGGGCTACTGGCCTAGACTAAGTAAGCAAGGAGTTGCGTCTTGAGGAAATAAAATTAGAATTGAAATGCCTGACGTTGTAGAACCTAGTTTACGCATAGACGGATCACCACGATCCTGTTTGCTAAACAAAAGAACCCAATCTCGACAATACTAACAAAGCCGGTAGCAACTGCGATTACAGCTAGCCGAACATACAGCAGTAAGCGCCCACAACAGGCCGGTGTGTAGCGCTCCCTACCGTCGCTCGAGCGACTGTTCGGATCGGCAAGACACAGTGACCGTATAAAAAGGATTAGTTGTCAAGCAGAACACCACCGCCATTACGCATGGTGCAAAGAGGAAAACCGGAGTACACAGCGACCAGGAATCTCAGGAGCCGGGCGCCACTACAACGGACTTTCCGTCAACATGGTCAACCTACCGAAGAAGAGGCAAAATAATGTCACCTAGAAACTAAATCAACCCCGTGTTATCTGTCATGTTCCAGTCGGTCAGTTGTGTATTTCGAATGTTCAGAATCTCTTAATGTGAAATGAGGTATATTGGGGCTACGTAGTGAGTTCAATGTAACCAGAATGTAAGGGAACACCAATCCTCGAGACCGTACATTGTTCTGTTCCTGTGCATTCATCCTTAAAATAGTTGTCGAAGTCCGGACTCCAGCACGCCACGACGACAAACGGCCAGCGGAAACTAAGTCTCCATAAGGCGCCCGTATGCGGAAACGCGGTTCGGCAAAACAAACCTCAGTAGTTCAAGCTGATTCACCACACTAATCACAGTGTTGCTTAAATTTGTCTCGAATCTCAGGCCTCCAATTGTACACAGTTTCGGGCGTTCTTACTTAGTTGCGAGCTCAGGCTATATGTGGAAATTTCTCGCGATTGGATACACCGTTTCCCTTTAACAACACTTCAAATTCAGTGATAGTTTAGGTGATTCATGTTCATTTAACATTGATTTGTCTAAACCCTCTTTAGTCAGGTTACAAATCTACTAGGAATTGTCCCCCTGGACGCATATTTCCAGTTGCAACAAGCGCTATTGACTGGGAAAAACTCGGGATATTCTGGAATTGCTTACTCCCATTTTGTCATACAATTATGGGCTCGTTTGAATGATTTCAGCCAAGATAATGCCACCGACCAAGACAAGGGAGACCGCAATGGCCATTTCTGGCTTATTAGCCGTCATCAGCCAGTCATATTCAACTCCAAGTGTAGATTACTTGAGATTTGAACCCGGGATCTTTGGTCATGGAGTTTGACGCTCTACCACTGAGCCACGGGCCCGTTGTTCTGCCTGTTGTGATCGGGATTATCAGTTATGACAGTGGGCGCTCGCCGGTCAGGTCACGGACCGTGCTCGTTCCATTGTGCCTTGGGGCTCATACTAGAACCCTCGCAGGCATATATATATATATATATATATATATAAATCTTATTGTCCCAACCCATCGCCTACGCTTACTGACATGCACATATGCAAATTTCGTCACCGGATATATTATTCATTTCGCTGCACTCGAAACGGCCGCTTTACAACTGCTCGTACCACTAAAATTCGAGACCGTTTTTTTGTCTGTACAGACCTGATGCTTTTCCGATTACTTGTTCCTTTAGGATTTTGCAGTTGCTTGTAAACAAATAGGGAGTTCAAAGGTGAAGACCTATATTTCCCTCAATAAACTGAACTGAACTGAACAGGTGGTACCGACAAAGACAAGGGAGACCGTAATGGCCATTTCTGGCTTATCAGCCGTCATCAGCCTGTCATACCCAAACCCAAGTGTGGATCACTTGAGATTCCAACCCGGGATCTTTGGTCATGGAGTTTGACGCTCTACCATTGAGCCACGGGCCCGTTGTCCTGTCGGTTGTGATCGGGAATATCAATTATGACAGTAGGCGCTCGCCGATCAGGTTACGGAACATGCTCGTTCCGTTCTGCCTTGGGGCTCATACTAGAACCCTCGAAGGCAGTCATCATTCTACTAGTCGCTGTGCGACTGCCTGCGAGGGTTTAAGTATGAGCCCCAAGGCAAAACGGAACGAGCATGTTCCGTAACCAGATCGGCGAGCGCCCACTGTCATTATATATATATATATATATATATATCAATATGCGTGAAGATGCGAGGTCCAGATATATTACCGTGTATATCATCCCCCGAGGAAGACGAAGAAGAGAAATCGATTTCATGGACCAGGTTGTATTCAGACTGACGTTTCGGAAACACACTCGTTTCCATCATCAGAGTCGTGCGCTGACGTTTCCTGCTGGCCTTGATCTGTTCAGCCTTGCCGCCTGCCTCGTATTATAACCGTGCACAGCGCACGTTTGTTGGCTAGCCTGCTTTCCGTTGGCTGATTGTCGCCTCCCTGATCTCAGCCATTGGTGGACTGGCGTGGCTTGCGTCCCCCTCACGCCTAACGTGGTTGCCGCGGCGTCGGCGTGCTCGTTCGCCTCCCCCTCGTCAGACGGCGGGCTGATCGGTCTTTGTTTCTCAGGCGTGGTGTTTCCGGCCTCGCGAGTACGTCCGTGAGACGGTGTGCCACGCCGGTCACGTGACATTCGGTAAGCGCCTTCTCCTCTCTCCGCGAGCGTCGGCGGTCGACCCCGTGTGGCTCTGCTCATCCGTGCCATCGGCCCTGCCTGGACTGACTCGAGTCTTGCGCGGAGCGCCTGGTAGGCTGGATGTAGGTCTATGGCCCGGTTGAGTGTGCCAGTCGAGGACCAACTTTCCAGCATTAGTCTGGCCATTTTATCATTGGCTCGGCCGATCACACTTGCTTTCTCGAAGGCAAAACAGTGATTCCGCTCTAGTGTGTGGCCATACACCAACGACAGCTTATCCTTGCGGTTGATTGCTAGCTGGTGCTCGTGCAATCTTGTGCCGAGGCGTTTTCCCGTTTCACCAACATACCTGGCATCACAATCTTGGCATGGTATGCTGTAGACCACCGCTGATTGTTCTGTCACCGGGAGCGGGTCTTTGGGCCTCATAATTTG